TGTTGCGGCAACATTTCCCATGATCAAGAATCGTTTGTGGCACAAACACGCAAATTAAACATTATTTGCTGACCTTTTGGATAAATATCTCTGATTGCCTGAGCCAAGAGATCTGCCGTCAAACGTTTTCTAATGGATGCAGTAGTTCTTAGAACACGTGTTGTGAATCGTGACTCGATAGTAGACACAGCACGTTCCAGGAGGGTAAAGTTTTGTCTGAGATCTATACATCAATATTATGAATAAACATGAAGCTTGAAATGTGATCCCAAAGACACTTAAACTAAACCAACCAGATAACAGTAAAGCATCAGCCTCTAAAGCCTTCTTTTCAGTATCGTCGACTTCGTCGGCATGCTCCATTTCAATGTCTTGATTTTCGACTGTCATGTTTACCTCTTCAGTCGTCTCTATTGGTTTGTTTTTGCTGCTTTCTTCTAGTTTCTTTGCCGTAGCTCTTGTAACGCGCTTTGTTGGAGTTGGTTGTTCTGAGTCGTTACTGGACTTCTTTTGACGGGTTGATCTACGTGGTGGGTTATTGTTATTGTTATTTTTCTGATTCTGAACCATTATGCGTTAAAGAACAAATTTAGTTACTAACGAATAAAACTTAAGTACTTATCGAGAATTTGGGACACGTAAGCATAACGTAATCACATCAATTACGATAACATTTGATCGACATGTCACACGTAAAAAAAATTTATCATATCAGATATGATTTTCATCGATACATACGTAATCATATCTAAAATGTGTTATCAAGTCCCTCAAATGTTGAATATTTGGGCTAGGTGCTGCAAAAAAAGAAGGAAATTGACAAAATTTTAAAATTAATTTCAGGATTGTATTAATAAAATTTTGCAGTATAGCTCTTCAAAACTTGCAATTTCTTATGATAAAATTTATAACAACTGATTTTTCGATGAATTGAAGTGTCCTATGCAGAATGCGAAACCTTCAAAATTGCAACAATTTGGTTTTTTTTGTTAATTATCTTTTCAAATTTTTAGTACGTATATATATTTTAAAAGTTTTATTATAATTTAAAAAAAATTTTTACGTACGGTGATTATAATATTTTAATTTTTTTAAAATTTAATATATATAAAATAAGCCATTTGTGTAATTTTTCTGTCAAAAAAGAGTAGCTTATTTTAGAAAAAATATAGTAAACTCTGGTTGTAATCTATTGCAAATTTTAACTACTGTATATAGAGGGAGGTTATTAGAAAACAGGCAAATTTTTTCTAAGTAAATTTTTTTTAAACTTTTAATTCAAATATTTTAACAACTATTAAATCAAACTTAATTAAGATTTTTTTATTTTAATTTTATATAATTATAAAATCAAAATAAAAAAAGTTTATCAAGTTTGGTTTAATATTTGTTAATAAAAACAATTTGTCTGTTTTTTTTTTTGTAAAAACAGACATGTCTTGCTTATATTTTATTATGGCAATAATTATACTAAAAATTACAAAAACTTCCTCTATAGCTACTATTCTAACTAAACATATTGCTTATTAAGCCTATTGGTCCAACATGACAGTTGTCCAGTATTTTTTAACTTCTTCTCAGGTGTTTAACTTTCTTAGACTTCTGTTCTTAGTTTCTTAGTGAGCACACACACCTATATCTATACTAATTTTTTTTTCAAAAAAAAAAGAAACACTAATATAAACAAAGATTAAAAAAAATAAAAGAAGTTATGTCTTAACTTCAAGATTCTAATCCATCTAAAATAACAAATAAAACCAAATAAAACAAAAAACAAAACAAAACAAAATAAAAAAAATACTGATAGTATTATTAAATCTATACTAAATTGTAAAAATTATATAGTACTACTAAATAAACTAGTTTAACTCTATACTAGTTATTTATATTTATATCTAGAATATAAAAATTTTATTAAAACTATTTATTCTTGAGTAGAGATCTAAGTTTAAAATTTTAATTACATAGTTTAGCAAAACTTTTGTAATATATTCATCTCATTTATTTTCTAAGTAAAGTTAACAACTTATTGTTAATTTCACAGGAGACAAATCAGGTAGTTTTGATATAAACATCATAATCTTTTGAGAAAAAACTGATCATATATTAGTTATTCCAAAGTAAATATATACATATATATGTGTATTTTTTTTTGGCAATATTTATTATTATTAATTCTTTGATAGAAATATGTTATATTTTTTACTTTTTGGTAAAATTTTGTGAAGAATAAAAAGTAGAATGTTGAAAGAGATTTTAATTTGCAGATAATCTTAAACTTCTATAAAGAATATATTGAAAATTTGTTTGTTGTTCTTTTTAAACAACTATTTTTTACTTTGTCAATAGAAGCTATACTTCTATTAAAATTTTTTGTACAAAAATATCACTTTCTGCCAGTTATCTTGTATAAAAACACTTTTAACTTGATTGTTAAATATACAAAAGAGTCTAAAACAAAGCAAGATCTTGACCTTTATAAAAACTATTACTTGTATAGTTATCTTTTCTTCTTTTTTTTAACAAATTTTTATTTTTATTAGTTATAAATTTAGTATAAGTGATTATTAGTAAAAGTATATTTTTTCAATTTGCTAGTTTTTATTTTTTTATTTTTTTTTTCACTTTGGCTTAGTGCTTGGCACAATCAAACAAAAACTTAACTTTCAAATACTTGTAATTAGTCAGACATCAAATGATTATAGATAAAGTTAGTTATATATATGTATATTAATATTTAAGCATATATAACTTGTTTGTTTTATAATAATTTGATGTCTGACTAATTACAAGTATTTGAGTGTCAAGTTTTTGTTTGATTGTGCCAAGCACTACTTTGGCTATCTTGCTAGTGATGACAAGATTATATAATGTCGGGGATGATGCTGAAAGGTCAGCAAATAATGTTTAATTTGCGTGTTTGTGCCACAAACGATTCTTGATCATGGGAAATGTTGCCGCAACA